CAATGTGTTTACTCAAATATTTAAAATTTAGTTTCTTTATATTGTTTCAGAGTTCAAGTTACAAAGAACCATTGCAGCTGTATTCAATACTGTGAAGTTCATCATCTTGATGATTACACTTACACATGTCCAAGTGTCACGTACACCACTTTCTTACAGTTTTGTACAACTGAAAAAACTGAATCAGTGCTACCAGAATGTGTTCAGTTTGACATTCCATCATATAATGACACAGTATATGTGTATTTTATATTTTTATGTTATGTTTGTTATAGTTCACTAGTGCAGAATGCTTTTCTTGAACTAGTAATGATAAAACTGTTCTAGAAAAATGTAATAATGCCCAATGAATTCCAAAAAAGCTCTAAAATGTTCCAATTTTACAGTTTAATTTATTAGAGTGCTCGTGAAACAAGTAGTACTAATTACTACTAAATAGTGTTGATTATACAATAGGAAACAAAGAAATTTGTATAATTTATCACCTATTTTGTAGTATTTATATTTCACGCATTTAGTGTGACCACTCTATAAGTCCCTTATAGGTTTCTGGTTTCTGTTTATAGCTAAAGTACAAATAATAAAAAAAATCATCAATTAAAGAAAGTTACTAAAACAAATTTTCTGAAGTTTTTGCTTATTGCTTATATTATAAACCTGTTACAGTAACAACACTTTATGTAGCTAGTCTAATATACTTTTTACATTGGTTTTTCAAAGTCACTAATGATGGGTTGACCCCGATATAGTGGTTTTCATAAAATCATTAAAGAAATTTTGTCATACACTAAAGACCAAAAATAAATAAAATAGTAATAGTGTACTTTAAGTGGATTTAAGCTTATCACAATCACTAAGTGACAATCTCTGAACTCAAATTAACATGGTTATCTACTCTGCCTCATTCAGCCTGAGTCACATGCAGTCCTCGACTGCCTATTTTTTCAGTTTGGATTTGAGCCAATTTATCGAAAATTCGTTGCCATGGTCACATGTATGGCACTTCTAGTCCTTAGCCTCCTCCTCTGTTGGTGCGCTTTTCTAACAGAACAAAAACGAATGATGTTTTATTACTCTACCATTTAACGTGGTGTTCAGCAGGCTCCCAGAGTTTGTTTCGTTTTGGCGTTTTTTTGTAATTTTTTGCGAGGCCGAGCAAAAAATACAGTAACTCCTACCGGCCTTCAGCTTTTAGAGAAAACATAACTCTTTCAACGTGACTTTAAAGAGTATTTCTAAAATAAATCGCTTAATCATTAATGAAGTCACACTATCTGACTCGCTTTTTTGACTATTAAACAAGAATACTTGTAATGACGTTATTTAACGGTTTTAAGATCTCTTTCTATTAGACGGACATTTTGACACTTTTTTCGTTTCCCAAGGGTGTCCGCCGCGTGAGATTCGACTGTAATGTATAAAGTTACTTCGTATCAAGCGCGGATCAAGGACTTTGAAGTGGGGGGTGAATTGCTAAAATAATGTAATAAAATGGAAGCCAAACACCGAAGCCGGGAGCCCCTAGGGGGTTGGGGGGCATCCCCCCGATAAATTTTGAAATCCAGACTCTCGGACATGCGATTTGCAGCGTTTTGTGGGCCTTTTTAGTAACTCTTTATTGAACAAATTTAAGCGGAATTTAGTACGCAATGCTCACTTGAAGCAAATAATCTCTCACGTTTAAAACTAGTATTTATCAAGAACAATGAGAGTTTACCGTGTACACACGAATATACATTACACCCACTAATGTCATCTAGGCTATTTACTGCCCCAAAAGTGATTCTTCCATCATCCTCCTTGGATGGAGTTCCATAAATGCTCGGCAAATAGTAGGTAGAATCAATCAGTCTTTGGAGAAATCAATTAACATTTCAATATTTTCAGGGATAAGAGAAAAAAAAGGAAGAAGAGCTTAGAAAAATGGGGGGTGGCTAGCCACCCTATTCACCCCCCCTAGATCCGCCCCTGCGTGTTCGACTCGGAGAGCAAAGACCGGAGGGCAGTCGGATATACCGAAACAAATCTTCTGACATTGAAGAAAATAAAATATAACTATACGCGTCGCATTTTATACCTCGTGCCGGCGTAGCCTGGGCACTAGTAATAAATAAAACTTATACATATCTTAAGTTTGATAAATAACTTCCTGATCTTGAAGTGCCAATATAGGTCATAATTTCAGTTTTAGCGCCCTTGTTTAGGCAAATATTATTTAATTTTCGATTACCCAAAATCCCATTCGGTCTTAGCCTCAATAATATCAGCTTCCCGCATAGTTAATAGAGGGAGACCTCTATTAACTATGCTTCCCGTGCTCGTTGTATATTCATGTTCCAGCGGATTTTAATGAGAAAGCCTGTAGCTAAGCAACCGATTTGAAAACAAGCTAAAACACTCACATTGAAGCAAAAATTATAATTCGGAGGATTTTAAATTTAGACCACTTCTTTAATTTGAAATATTTCTTTAATATTATAGAAGATATAATTTTTAATTTGGCATGTAATAGTTCTAAGCAAATATTTGATATGAAGATATTTTGTCAAATTTATAAATGGGCTGTGATAAATTCACGGAAAGACGAAAAGGATTTAGGTTTTTACTCAACATATTGCTCTAATGTTGTAAAAAATACCTACTTAAATACAAAGAAACCACATATAAAGTTAACAATAAATGAGGCACATTGTATTTGTATGTAAGTATAAATTGTTTCTTTACAAGACACAACAACCTCACTCACGTCTCATTTCCGTGAGCACGAAAGCTCACGGCAATTCCGATATAAAAACRCCAAAGCAGCGTTATCCTAACCATTTAAATGAGATTGTAGTTRGTGGAGATTTTCGGTAAATTTTCGGGCAAGATTATGAAGACTAAAGAACAGAGGTTTTCTATTCATAAAATGAGCCAAAAACAGTCGCCACTGCGAACAGTTCACCATTCCTGAACGATCCTTCGGCTACGTTGTCGAATTTCGTATTCCATAAACACCGACTACCAATTCTCATCCCTTGGTTTTTGACTTGACCCATGTAAACAACACAAATGATTTTATATCTTGTAAAGCCGAGATACTTAACTCTCTGTTTTATGACTTCGGAGAGTTTTTTACTCGTGTCTTTACAAAAGTCATAGTCATATGAATGACCTTCAAGATACTCTGTTAAAGCTTCTTCAATGACGTCTTTCACTTCCTTTGAAGAAAACCTGTTTACTGGTTCAGTCCTAAAGGTATTTTTCGGCTCGCTCATTGGATTAAACGATGAGGAATAAAATCCTTGGCTGAGTTTAGGAGTAATACTCGGAGACCGTGAGGTTGGAGTTTTAGAATTACCATGTTGTATCTTCGGTGCAAGAAAATTATCATCGTTGCGGAAACTTTTCGGGAAATCACGGTGAACGACAGCAGCCTTGCCAGCATTATCATGGCGTCGTCTCTCAGCTACCAAAAACTGAGCCCTTTTCTTGATTTTGGTTGCTAGTTTTCTAGCTCGAATCATTCCAATCATAGTAGGGCCGCYTGTGTATGGTTCTAAGTCCATTTTACTCGAGCACAGTGTTTAAAACAACTATTAGTTCTGGTTCAAACAAGATGTCTTCGCTTGGAAGCGATTTTGATGGTGAATTGCTTAAGATTGTGTTTCTTGGCAAGCTAAAGCCGTTGTTATAGCAATCGAAGCCAGAAACTACACACATTAATTTTGTATGTTTTGGATACACGTGGATTTATATTCAAGATATGTTAATTCACCCGACAGGTGCAATATGGTTCGTCAAACAACTAACGATTGACACATAGACTAGGTTTATGCTCAAGAACTCACTGAGTCACTGATTTCCAATATCAGTAAAATATCATGATCTACGACTAGATGTTGAATTCGTCCAATATATTCAGTCAAGTCAAGCGACGTTTGCGCTCCTTCGAGAAATCCTTGTCAAGGATCCTATTTCGCTTCTTTCGAATACTCATAGCAAGTCACGATATTTAACAATTGTTTCCCGATATAAAAAACACTGCCAACAAAGTCTACTATAAACCGCAGGGTATCATAGAATTATAGCTCGCGTATTGTCGCGTATTTGTTTTTGTTTTGTTTTGAGTTATTTTGTGTGCAAATAATCACAATACGTGGTTTCTTAGGGAGGAGTGGAGGGTAGGCAAGTGACTGACTTCGCTGACCGCTCTATGTAAATGAAAACATTTATCCGATTGCATGTTTTGCCAATGTTCGCAAAGCACGAAATGCTTACACCTGTCTTAGTAAGCACTCAATCGGACTATTTCCTCAACGCGGACATACAAAAAGACTATAAGTAGTTTTTAAATTATCAAAATGTACAAGAAATTACATATTGTCAATTGAGTATTTAGCATTCGTAGACAGATCGAAGTCTTTACTAGGATAGAGTACAAACATTAAATGTGTGCAACACTTTCCACTATTTTACTACAAAATAGTGTTAATTAAACAATAGAAAACAATAGAATTAGCATAATTTAGCAGTATTTATGTTGCACACTTTTAGTGCTTACTCTAAATTCCGTTGAAACTAGCGGTAAAATAGTGTGAGCTGCGTCGGTGTATCTAAAGAAACAGTTTTGTAAAAAGATGAATTTAACCGTAAAAAAGTAGGTGAAACTCAACTTAATGACATTTCGGACGTTAATCCTTAGTCGAAGTAAAAGAGATGCTCTTTAAAAGGATTACAAGCTATTTTTGTATACTCTAGAGAAACACTTGGGATCAGTTTTGATGGTCGAGATTCAAAAACCCTTTTCTCCACAAAATCATGAATACAAGGGGATGGGCTGCTTGTGGTACAACAAACGTCCGAAACGTCAGTACGGTTATTTCACCTAAAAATTATCTTTTACCGCAGCATTACATTGCAGTTATTCGATTGGTGCATTCACAGGCAGCCCAGGGCTACTTTTTCTGAAATAGTTGCATTAAATCACGTTGTACCACAAGCAGCCCATCCCTTGTATGCATGATTTTTGAGACAGCACGAGAAAAGCTAGATTTTTGAATCTGATCCGAGGTGTTTCTCACTAGTATACAAAAATAGCTTGTATTATCCTTTAAATTAGCATCTCTTCGCTTGAAAACCGTGGTTTCTAATCTATAGATGTTTTATGTATAGTTTAAAACACGATCTCGAGTGTTTTAAACGGCTTAAAAAACTCCAACACTAATTTAAAACTCAAATCCGTTAAAATTCTTGGAGAAATTGCCGTTCAAATATGTTCAGAGATAAATGAAAAGTGATCATGCGCGAATCACTTTACAAAGCACTCTTGTCATCCCACATTGAATACGCATAAAGTAAAATAGAAGCGCTCTTGGCTGTTCACTGAAATCGGTTGACATCCTGCATTGGTCAATGATCAGGTTTCAAACCTGAGACCTTTGCTAGGGTCATGGACCTTTATATCCGATAAAGGTCACCCTTATTAGTATTCTTTATATAAAGAATACTAATAAGGAGTGTTTTATCAGATATAAAGGTCCATGCACGTGACCAAATAGGCTCATTCTATTGGCCTAGTAGCTCATTAATTATGTATGAGTTTTTTAAAAATAATATCGAACCTCATATCATTATCAAAGACGCACAGTTTTTGAATTTGTTTACTCGGTTCCCACTGAGCATCCCATAATTTCTTAATGAATCGATTCTAAAAATAATACAATCCAAGATGGCGGTCGTACTGGTTAGGTAGAATGAAAATTCACTCTTTGATAACAATGAATAGGACAGCAGCTTTTTCTAACCCTTTTATTTTGAGGTCCATTAACAATTCATAATTCTGACAAGACGTCTACGTCATGATACTGACCAACACAACACTACCCTTACGACAGAAAACATCGTCCTATCCCAATACCGGGGGGGTCTGGGTACATCCATGCAAACACAATAAATCTCTTTATCGCATAATGAAGTCACAGCATGATTACAACATGTTTTGGAGTGACGTTATTATACAATACACCAAATTTAAGGACAAAACAGTAAGATTTACAATATCCTGACTTTTGACATTAAGGTGGAACAATATAGTTATATATGTGTTCCTATTAGTGAGAAATTCGTACGGGAAAATATGATGTTTAAGCTACGATATGGTATTTAATCTACGAGAGTCTGGTTTTGTGTCCCCTGGGCATCCTATAGTTTATTACTCTGAATCGATACTTAAATCAATAGAATTCAAGATGGACGCCGTAAGAACTTAGCTTCGAAGGGTCCGTTCCACCTTAGCGAACTACCGGAAACGGATGCTTCAGAGGGTAGTAACTTCTATTCAATGGAACCACGCATCCAAACATAGTATTGTGGCACCGTTTTGACTGCAAACTGAAAATTCAACAGAAACAACCTTACCCAGATTCATTCAAAACCATGCTCTGATAATCACTGACTTACCCAGACTCCCGGTTTTGCAATGGCAGATTTATACTGTTAGATATATAAATCTCTAGATACGAGCATATCGCGTTTAAATAAATGTTATAATAAATTAATTATTAATAGATGGCGCACCCCCTCGTTAAACCCAGTACGACATCAGAAACTCGACAGGGGATTGAAACGTGTAGCCGCTGTGCAAACTGATAATACATTTACCATATTTGGTAATATTGGAATTTGGTTCGAAGGGTCATTTCGAAATACCCAAAGCTGGTCGCTACAAAACTAATTTACTGCTACTGATCTTTATTTTTCGTTCAATGGACAAATATTGGGGACACAAGAAATGAACGGAGGCTACAGGTTACACCCCTTGTAAGTTTCTATAGGAGAGTAGCCTGCTTAGCCAGGCGTTCCTAGCTGCTCCGAGAGAGTTTTGGCCGTAGAACTAGAATCCCCTTTTTGTTTCCAGCCCAGATTCTCTCGGAGCGGCCGGGAACGCCTGGCTACGMTGGCTAATTGGAGACGYGATGTTATATGAGGCTGTAAAGAGTGGTGGTACTTAACCCATGTATTTTAGATTAACTCACATCGCCACTTCACATCCCAGACTTTCCATTCAAACTCACAAATCAACCACCAAATCAAAGAACCAATAAAGTACTAGTCAATTTTTTTWAAAAAAATTAAGAACCACCACAGAGATTTAAAAATTTAAATTCTTAATATAAATACATTGGACGACATTAAATAGACATTTTAGCAGTAATTAATAAAATAGTTGTTAGCAACAATGGCTATTGGCGTCTTTACATTTGTTGAGTAATTCAGCTTTCCCTCCAGTAAGCAATCTAAACGTAGCTGTTCGCCATTCAATCTGAGTACCAAATGCAGCTTGAAGAAAAAACACTATAAAAAATAATTCACGAAATAGCCATGCGAGAAATACCTTCCATAGCGGCGGCAGAGGACCATTTAGCTGAAAAATAAAAAATATCATCCACTCAGTCTCCAAAGGGTAAAATATCAAATCCACGCGCGTGTCAATTCTTCGTTTTCATTAAACGTCACAGCGGCCATCTTGGAGGAACTTTAACAAAGGATTTATCAGTAGTATCTATTGTTCATTCCTCCAACATGGCCGCCGATCTTTTATTTTTTGAATCTCATGGRAATGGTTGAAAACGATCAATAACGACGGCTTTTGTAAACATTTGAGCACTGATGAAGGTCTAAGATAAAAGATCGAAACGTCTGATTAAAATACACCTTATTCCAAAATGGCTGACTAGCCCTTGATGTCTAGTTTTCATGAAATTGTTCTTTTCTTTTAAAGTCACTCAAGCTCAAAGACAAAAGAATAATTTTATGAAAACGAGACATCAAGGGCTAGTCAGCCATTTTGGAATAATGTGTATTACTGTCGTTCGAAATTTACGTCACAGCGGCCATCTTGGCTGAACTTCAACAAACGATTTCTCATTAGAATCTACTGTTCATTTAACAAAACTGGGCGCCTGTCTTTTGTCATGGGAATGATTGAAAAGGAGCCATAGGCCTTTTGCATCAAACGGTCCACCATGCTGGACGGTAAAATACTCACTAAGAAATGCTACTCACCGGGACACCTTGTACAATAGTCAATAGTATGTAATCCAGTACGAATGCAATCCCAAGATGTACCATATAAAATACAACCATGTTAATACCCCATATATACCAAGCTCCCAWTGCCCCAAACACACCGATTATACTACTCTCTGTTAATGGTTCYAAGTATGAAGGAAACGGCTCCATTGCAAGTCGCAGTCGCGTCCACCTTAAAAAAATAACGATTAAATGATAATTAAAAATCGTGCTGAGAAAATTGGGGTGATTACAAAAAAACTGATCATATAGAAACGATGAAAATAATAATAAAAAAATAAGACGCGTTCACTGAGCAAAAAACAAAACAAAAACAAAAACAAAAAAAAAACAATAGAGTTTAATATTGCAAACGCCAAACGTCTAAATGGCTTTTATGGTTTGTCTTAAAATCTCAAACAAACGTAAAAACGCTTCGAAAGGAATAGTGATGCGCTTATGCACGAAAAAGTAATCTATTTTATACACAATCGCGAAAGAACGGAGCGTTAATACAGAAAAACAGTGATCACGTGATCAGTTTTGACGTTTGGCGTTCGCCAGAAACGCGTATCTAAAACTCTCTAATTACTCTTATAGACGAACTGCGGTGAGATGCATTATGGGATTGATATACGTACAAACTGAAGCCATATTGTTATTTTAATGAAAGTATTGACAAGCTGTGCAAACAGGTTTTTAACAAGCCCGAGTTAGCACTGGTATGCAGCCATGTTATCTAATGTATCCTTCGACAAAGGAAAACGTTCCATGAAATATAGAAAATTYTTTCYTCGTATGGTAGACGTATGGTTTGRATTCCTTTATCAATACCATGATGCACTTCGCCAAAACAAACATGACGTCATAAGGGGAAGACCATTTTTGATGACTCCGTATTTCATGTAGTTTCTTTGGAACTGCCTACCCTGGTTCCAGAGGCTTTTCTATTTTTCTCTCTTCTTTGTGTAAACATATTCGCAGCTCAATGTCGCCGCTTTGTGGCGAATACCGTAAGAGATATCTTTAC